TCCGACTTCTCCTGGTGTGATGGTGCAGCCCCTCTGCCTCACTTGACCACATTGTGATGTCAACAACACCCAACACTGTTCTTGCTTTAGTTACAAGAGTGGTGTACCCTACATTGTTCTTGTTTCATTTGCACGTGCTGAGACAATCTGGCACTTTCTGACCTTGCCTGCTGGGGCAGTGAGTTGGAAAAACTGAGTACCTTCTTGTCCTAGTGCATATGCAGTGAGTTGGGATGCTAAAGCATTCCTTAAATGCATATGGATTTCCTGCTGCCCGGGAAAAATACCGGAGACCCCTCCAGCTCAGATCACATAGAATCATAGAATCTTAGAATTATAGAATCATTTTGGCTGGAAAAGACCTTTGAGATCATGAGTCAAACCATTAGCCTAACTCTGCCAAGTCTGGTGCTAAACCATGTCTCTAAGCACCACATCTACACTTTGAAACACCTCCAGGGCTGGCGATTCAACCTCCTCCTTGGGCAGCCCATTCCAGTGTTTGATAACATGTTCCGTGTAGAAGTTTCTTCTAATATCCAATCTAAACCTCCCCTGGTACAACTTGAGGCCATTTTGTCTTGTTCTATCTCTTGCTACTTGGAAGAAGAGATCAACCTCCACCTCTCTACAACCTCCTTTCAGGTAGCTGTAGAGAGTGACAACATCTCCCCTCAGCCTCCTTTTCTCCAAGCTAAACAGTAGTGCACACTTTTTGAGTTTTACATCTTGGTCTATCGTCATAGAATCATAGAGCCACAAGATGGTGCCATTCAATCATTTTAGAAGGAGACACTTCACCAAGGCATTAGGAAAGAGAAGTTAAGACCCAGCTCCCTTTACAAATACCCACCTATTGCATAAGAAACTAATTTTTCTATACCTTAGCCAAGCAACATCCCAACAGCAACTTGCACTTAGTCCAACCAAAGGCACATATCAAGGATTTCTAGCTGCTGCCTTGTATCTCTTCCAGCCACTTCCCTGTTGCAGGCTTGTGTCCCTCTCCATGTGCAGCTTTAGGGGCTTTCCTCCATACAAGCTGACTCTGCAGCACAATAAATCTCACAGTCAAGACTGCCTCCCTATCAGCATGCCTGCATGTTAAATAGAGATCACCTTTAACCTCATGGCTCCAGAACATGCAGCTTGGCTTGCTTTTTGATAGGGTAATGGGCACAGGAAAAGTCCCTGGCAAGAGTAACTATCAGACCCATGATAATTCCACTTCCTCTGCAGAACCTGCTTGTCCTTTCTGCACCATCATCTCTTGCTCAAAGGACAAACATTGTCCTCCATTAGCAACAAGCTCACGGTGACTGAGTTAACAGAATGAAGAGTGAGAGCATTTTGTTCCAGCATTAGCAGGACATCACCAGCTATACTTCACAGCAGTTTTCCCACTCACATGAAGATCACATTTATTTTCTAGCAGATCTTGAGTGAGCAGAAGATTTTAAGGACTCGGAGGCTTTCTGCCTGGGTCAGATTCATACAGGTGGCTTAGAAGTGTACCACTCCCTCAGACCAGCCTGAATCTCTTGCTGTAGCAAAGCTTCTCTTGAGATTGGGGTAAGATTTTGTAGGGTTCAGCTGGTTGTTTCTAACCTGCAGATTATCTTCTTCTCCTCAGGTGCTGTTCTTTGCTGAATGTTAAACTGCCTGCAAGATCAGTGCGGAAATAGCATATGTCAACCAGACATTAAAATTGTTGCTTGAGGATGCATACTGATTGTCTTTATAAACACAAACACCAGATCAGCAGAACAAGAAATGAAACCAAAGCAATCTTTCAGAAAGAATTACAGCTCTTTAACAGATTAAGTTGGGTTTTTTCCCCTGTAAATGTAATTGGCAGTACTATTCATAATTCTAATTAAATTAAGATTATAATCCAGCTGGGGGTCTTGATAGCACCTCTGCCTGTGGCCGTTCTTGACTCCATGGCCTGAAGGAATGCAGAGGAAAATTGTATTCGTGTTTCAGTAAATCATGTTTACCATTAGGAAACTGCCAGAAAAAGACAGATAAATGAGCAGGGAAATGGTTGTTTACAGCCTCAGTTATTCCTAGTTGCTATTTACTGGAGAAGTACCATAAAGCCAAAGGAGAAGGAAACACAAGACAGGAGAGAGTCTCTGAAGCTGACAGTCGAAGCATGAGGAGTCACATATTACAGAGAACAAAGGCACAGAAAAGCAGATATTGGCATTTGCCTTACATATTTTTGTTCTCTTGTGCACTCACTTTTATAGAGATTTATAAAATCATTAAGGGCAGAGAAAAGATAAATAGTATACAATGGTTCATTGTGTTTTCAGTACAAGAACAAGAAATGAAAGTAGCGATTAGCAAGTTCTCCACAAGCAGGAGGAAATGGTTTTTCACAGACCTTGTGTGCAGGGGGCCACAGCATGTACCCCCGACAGAGAGGTGGAGAGAGCTGGGCTCACTTAGGCCATAAAGAGGTGTCTGATAGTTGACCCAGTGGTGGCCTGCAGCCAACCAAAGATAGCGAATATTTCTCAGCAGTAGCAGGTGATGCAAGAGGTGGTGGCCACAGTTCACTGTTTGGGAGGCCTAGGTTGGACATTAGGGAGGACATTTCCACCAGGAGACCTTCAGAGCTGGCTTCCAGCCAACTTTTCCATGAATTTAGGAGTATCAGTTTCAAAGCTGAACACTTGCCATCTAGAAAAAGCCA